ATATAAAAATATATATAAAAAATTATGTATTTTCTTTTTACTATATATGACTAAAAAGTGCCACTCTTAATGCTTTACTTCAGCTCCTACTTGAAAGTTGCTGGCTTGGAGGAGGTTTAGCATCTGTACTTCAGACACCAGGATTACATCTCCTGGCGTGTGGTTGATGTAATTGGCAGGTTTGTGCACAGACTGGGAGCTAATAAGGCAGTGCCAATCATCATGATAGGTCCCCTCTTGAGTAGGCATTATGATGTAGCCCCAATTTCCTAATTGCACTGAAAGTTGCATAATCACAATCATTTTTATAATTGTCACCAAGTCAACTGCACATACGCTTTACTAATCTTTTACAATGTGGGGGGCAACATGGATATCATAATATTTTATAATCAAAGTATATGTTGCCACATTTCTGAACCTGTGCTCTGTCTGGAGTTCCACTTTAAAACCTAGAGAGTATTAACAGTACATATTTTGAAAGCATTTTGTATACTCATTCCCAGTGGAGTGCACAATTTATTCAAAATCCTGTCTCGTTGGAGCACATCCAGTATCATCATTGTCGACAGTATGAATACCTGGAAGAAAGTAAAATGGGATGGAACACAAAGTAGTACCTACAAATTGTGTACCCGTCAGTGTGAACTCAGTGACACCCTTACTATTTCCTGTACGCATTCTGCAGTGTAGTAATGTGTAAAAGTGTAAATGTTTTGCAAATACTGCTCATATCTGTTTAGGGCAGAGTGGCTTAGTACAGCACATGTATTATGTCCAAAAGAGATAATGAGGTTTATTTTTGCATTTCAATTACTATTTTCTAAAATGCTAGATTTTGATGATCATTGTCTTGACATTTAGATCTAACATTTAGGTATTTTCCATGGTGGGATTTAATTGGCTTCCTGATTTATAGTACATATCCAAAGCTTGTTCTTTTGTCCTGCTTTAGGCCACCATACATTAGGTTGCCTGCTTATCCCAGCCAGTCTGGGGCTGGTGGACGCCCCATGTTTTCCTCACAGCATCCCAACTATGGCAACTCTCAGGTTCCAATGATGCATCAGCCTGATCAGTACGGGTAGGTAGCAATGGACTTGCTTTGGGACCTCAGCCATTCATCTTTGTTGTTTTGTTTTACTTGTGTATATATTTTTTGTTACTTGTTTGTGTACTGACACTTTTGCTGCTTCTATGCCTATTTGTGGCATGTCTTCCCTGTCATATACTGTGGTTGCTAGCAGCAATAGTATTACAACATGCAGCTTTGAAAGTGTTAACCCTTGCAAGTTTTACCGTTACTAACCTGGATGGTGACAAGTGCATGTCTTTTTAAGCATTGCCACAAGTCCTGCATGGCTCATGTTCTTTATACCCCTCCTGCCTGCATTGGTGGCTATGATGATCCTTCATGAAAATAGTGCTATTCATTTCACCTGCTATCTCTTGTGATTTGTTGTTGTATGGGAAGCATTATGGGACATGAAGGCTTGATTAACACCATGTATTCTGCTTTTGTCACTTTGTTGTGATGTTGACCCTGTATTGTAGAATTTCTGCACATGGTACATTGATTTGAAGAAGAAAATAGTTTGTTTCTAGTTGGTTGCTTGTTTAGGTATCGATCTCTAAGATCGTAAGATTCATTTTTTTGGGTGGAGGCACTAGAGAGGAGCATGACAACTCTCTACTACTACTTTCATTGATATATGCTGTTGTATTTAATACATCCTTTTTAGAGATGAACTCCAGACAGATAAAGACATAAATGGATGGAGCTCTGTATACATTATTACAACATATATTTTTTTTCTTTTTAAATGCAAGCAGTGAAAAGTACCTAATTTGGTTCAGTATCAGCCTCTTGCAGTCCACTGTAGAGCTTAGACTGGGAGAGTATGAAGCAGCACAAGGATCCAATCAGTGATGCTGCAGTGGAAGTATCATGCTCATAGTCTGTGTATCCTATCACTGTGCCGTCACAGACTTGGGGTGGGGAAGAGACCCCAGACAGAGCTGCATAACTCTCTGGAATGGATGGACAGAAATGCAAATCCTTTGGTAGATAAAACAGCTCATGTATATACAGGTGAAACTCAAATAATTAGAATATCGTGCAAAAGTAATTGCAGTAAGTGCTGCAAAAGGGGCCCAAACCAAGTACTGAGTACATATGCATGCTTGTACTTTTCAGAGGTCCGATATTGTTCTATGTACAATTCTTGTTTTTATTGATTGCATGTAATCTACTTTTTTGAGGTTGTGGATTTGGGGTTCTTGGGGTTTTCATGAGCTGTAAGCCATAATCATCACAATTATGACAAATCACGGCTTGAATTATCTTGCTTTGCATGTAATGAGTCTATCTCATATATTAGTTTCACCTTTTAAGTTGCATTAGTGAAATAAATGAACTTTGCACGATATTCTAATTATTCGAGTTTCACCTGTATATTATATCTATGTATTTAGCTGTTTGCCTGGAGTTCAGCTTTAATGTATTCAGAGTGCAGTAGTAGGGAAGATATTTACAGATTATTCCATCTATGTATTTATTTTTTTAAGTGAGCATAAATCTGCGGCGTCTCAGTATACTGCGAGCTGTAGCTTGCGGTATACTGAGCTTAGGGTAATGGGAGGACGCTAGTTTGTGTCCTCCCGTTACCCTAAGGAGAACTATGGGGAAAAACACTGACCCCCATAGTTCTCCTTTAAGAGCTCACAAACCTCTGTTTGTGTATATATATAATTTATGTACTGATTTCTTTTTTTCTATGCTACCTCTTAGTTGTCCTAGTCAATGAGTGGTACAGTGCGCAAAAATATTTAAAAGATTCAAATTAAAGGAGAACTATGGGGTTAGGGATTTTCCCCATAGTTCTCCTTAGGGTAACGGGAGAACACAAACTAGCGTCCTCTTGTCACCCTAACCTCACTATACCGCGAGCTACAGCTTGCGGTATACTGAGACGCCGCAGCTGAAACGGATCCCGACAATTATGTCTGGATCCGCCCAGCTGCGTGAGTGACAGCTGGCTCTGCCTATCTAGAGGCAGAGCCAGCTTTATCCGGCCCCTCCCCTGTCCATTCCGCCAGTCAGCGCTGGAGGATCGGAGCGGGGAGGGGGGAATCCATCCCCTCCCCTGTTACGGCAGAGAGCCGTGACAGGTTTGAGAAGTGAGCGAATGCTGGTATGTGTTCACTCACTTCCCGATCTACTGAGCTGACCTTTGACAGTCTCATTGTCACAGGTCGGCTAGAACTATGAGGTGAGTGAAAAGCACTCACCTCATAGTTCTCCTTTAAGCTCTAGAAAAATTTGCGAAAGGTAGTAAAAGTGTTTATTCAGTAACCCCATGAATATGATTCAAACTCACTGTCTTACTGTGTTATAAAAACTGTAGCTTATCTCTTTTCAATTGCCATATGATTCCTCTGGCAATATTGTTTTAGTAGCTGTGTGACCATACTAAATTAATATCCTTTTCCTTCTTGATAGTGTCCACTACTGTATAGTCAGAAACACATTATGCAAGGGATAAAAGGCATAGCATGTTTTGCTATCATTGATTTAAATGTAGATTTCCTACATATGCACATTTTAAGCCTATGGGGTAAGAAATGCTGATAATATTTTTTTATTCAGAACAAAATCAAATTAAACAGTATGTATGGTCAAAGTGTCCTGCTGGGTGTATCCACTTTCTCTATTTGTCCTGAGGACCATGGCCACTTAGACAGAAAATGATGGGAAATCCAAAGTTTTAGCATTGCTTCCAGAAAAAGAGGCGTTGGTAAATATTCCAATGGCGCCACCTGTCTGGTGAAATGGCCTAAAAGGGGAATTCTCCTCACATTTTCTTTAACATCCTGTTGTGTTTTCAAGGCAGGAAGTAAAGAGAAATCTCCTGGGTGAAATGGATAGAGCAAAAAATAAATTGATGGGTTTTCTTTCTCTACTCAAATCTGAAAAAAAGTATTGGCTATACACACACTTTTTACACACATCAACTACTACCTTTAATTTAATCCCAGTTATTCTATAAACCTAGGACAATGTAGTTAACGCAGCTGATCCATGCATGTCATGCACTACTGTGCAATCTTTTGAACAATTAGTCACAATAACAAACATACATGTTCCCATGTTGCACGAATTGTGCCTGTGGAGGAAAGAGGGCAGCACTCCTGAACCCCAGATTTACCACCAGATAGTCAAGGGCGAAGAGGGTGAATGTTCTTTTTTTTTCCTGATACCAAAGGTTTCAAAACTATCTGATGACTTGACATAAGGGAAATGGGACCCCCAGCAAACAGATTTTAATACAAACTCAAAAGCCCACATATGCTTGTTTACAAAAACGTCTCTTTGGGTCATAATGGAATCCCTGGATAACAAACTTTCACAAATGTCCCAAACATATATGCCATATATCCGTGGTTCTCAACTGGTGGGTCGTGAACCAAAAGTGGGTCGCAACCCTATGTTCAGTGGATCGCCATGTGCTTTCCACTGCAACCGGAGTGATGTCACATTCTAGTTCATGACACCTCTACAGGGCATGCAAGGGAGCTGTGTAAACAATGCACATATGGATGGAGCTCTGTCACAGCACAACAGTGTACACTGGACCCCAGGCTGAGGATCCACTCCAGTTCTCATAATGTAGGAATAATAAGAGGATCTTAACGCAAAAAAAATAAGAAAACTTTTTTTGGAGTTTATATGTGTGAGATTGTCTGTGAGTGTGTGAGATTGTGTCTGTGGTTTTGTGTTGTGGGCCTGTTCACACTAGTACAGTGCGTTAACCGCACAGTCCTGTGCGAATAATGGACTGTACCTACCTCGCATTCTGGTGTGGGATGTGCATTGCAATGCCATTCATTAGTATGGCACCCCAAACTCACCTCCCACCCTCAGTTCGATCGCCCATACCGGAATGCACACTACTGCGACTTGGGTCACAACCTAATGACCAATTTCAAAAGTGGGTCCTGAGGTTATGCAGGTTGAGAACCGCTGCCATACATGTACAGTCATATTTTCCAAGTTCTGATAGATGAATATATTATTAACTATGACTTTAAGATGAGGACTTCTGGGACCATCTGAGATGCGGGCAATTGCTAAGAATTAGTAGTCTGTTAGGGCTGCTTTAAACCTGCCACACACCTTGGCAATGTAAACTGAGCTGTACAGAAACAAGTGCATAACCAGATGTTGCCTTCAGTGAATCCTAAATCAGTAGATCGGGAGATGTAGGCAACAGATGTGTACTCATCTGGATTTTTCTTGCAACACAGGAGCTTGGCTCTGCCTTCTACAAACCTCCATTCTGTTCTTTAATGGTAAGATTTAAAGACAGGAGCTGGTGGGGCCAACAGGTTTACTTCCATGCAGACCCCACAGATGCACAAACTTACCTTTAACTCCATTCTGCATCTGGGCGCAAACGGAGAGTCCTGTGTAAGCTACAAGTCACTGGAGTCCTAGCTAAAACAGAGCAATGCATTCCCTGTGTGAGAGTGCCAATTAGCCCAATGCTATCACATGCTCCTCCATACCCAGAAGTATGGGGTTTTTTTTTGTTTTTTTTTCCTTTGGCTCCTGGCCATTTACCAGCAGCAGGGGAGCATAGAAAGGGTAATTTTCTGCTACTAGGGATTAATGCAAACCTGTTGCTTTGCCCATTCTGGGCATTTGCTTTTTCATGAAACTGCTGATTTCTAATGCAGTTTTTTATGCAGAATTTGTACGCAAATTCCCTTTTTTGGTTACCCCTAAAACTATTGTAATACTAAGGTATGAGCATCATATTGAAACTGAGTTTTGAAGTATTATTATAATATTATATACAGCCCCAATTCCAAAAAAGTTGGGACGCTGTGTAAAATCTACATAACAGAATGCAATGATTTGCAAATCTCATAAACCTATATCTGTAAAAAATAATTTCGAATTGAGAGATTTGGTTGGATGACCAGTGAAACGTCTTCAAGAAAAATACAGCAAGTCCAGTTGCCTTGACTTATTTTTTACAGATATATCATGACTTGGATGAATGAGAACCCTCACAGACT